AATCTCCAAGATGAATTTTCGCTGACTAAGGTTGATACCTTTGTTGGACCGAGCGATCTCAATGCCAAGAAAATATTTGGGAGGTCCTAGATCTTTGATTTGAAATGTAGAATGGAGATATTTTTCGAACTTTTCAATAGCATATTCATCATTTCCCATGATAAGTATATCATCAACATATATCGATAAATAAATCGATGATGTACCTCTAGTCCTGGTAAACAAGGCATAGTCATGTTTGGAGTGCTGGAAGCTTGCTTCTATGGGCACATTAGTAAATTTGGCATACCATTGCCGAGAAGCCTGTTTAAGCCCATAAAGAGATTTACAGAGACGACATACTCGAGACTCCCCCTCTCTACGTAAGCCCTGTGGAAGTTCCATATATATTTCTTCATCCAAATCCCCATGTAGAAATGCATTATGAACATCCATTTGGTGCAATTGCCAATTACGAAATGCAGCAATTGATATAAAGGAGCGAATGGTTACCTCCTTGGCCATTGGAGAAAATGTTTCATGATAATCAAAATCTTCTTGTTGTGTGAATCCTTTAGCCACTAAGCGAGCCTTGTATCGTTCAACAGTGCCATCCACTTTATATTTGATTTTGTATACCCATTTGCACCCAATGGTTTACGACGTGGGGGTAAAGGTGAGATGACTAGCAAGGATCACCTAGAGGGGGGGTAAATAGGTGATTTGAAATAATTCTTGATCAATTTAAAGCGGAAATAATTGATCAAAGGTAAAGTCTGAACATCGTTCAGATTTTGAACAATCTTTGAATAGCAAATAAGTAAATGTGCAATGCAATAAATAAAATGAGTTTAAGGGATGAGAAAAATTGCACACAATACTTATAGTGGTTTGGCTGGATTTCACTAGATGATCAATCAAGAGATTACAAATTCTGAGTGATAACTTTCTGACAAAAATATGTCACTCTTTCTCACTCAATCACTCTCACAATCGTTTTCTCCAGATCACAAATTTCGGCTCAAGAAAGACAAATCACACTGGTCAGAGTATGCTCAGACTTTGGAATAAATGATTCTAGATATCGTTTTATCTTCTGCTCTTCAAAACGTCTCCTTTTATACTCCTCTATTTCCAAACTAGGCATTGGGCAATCTTCAGAGGATCATCTTCCAATCTTCATCTTGGACAGATTTGTATAAAAAAGGATTGAGTAGCCGTTGAGTGACAAAGTTTGAATCTCGCTAAATCTGGTCGCCCATACAACCAGAACTTTGGTTTCCATAAGCAGAGCTTCTCTATATATGAAGAAAACTTGTCGTAAGGTTGATTGTCAATCAAATAAAGATATTTCGTTATATAAATATTCCATGCAAAATAGTCTTTTAAGATCGAATCAATCAATACTATCCATTTGTGAAATCCAAGCTAAATTACAAGCCGTTGTATACGTTTTGAGTTTGCGACAACGTTTGGATAAAGTATCATTCTTATCTCGCATTCAGAACTTGAGTCAAAATGATTTGTTCCGTAAAATCTAAATCTTTTGATTCCAATAAACTGAAGTTCTTCAACTGCCGTATACAAAGTCTGAACTTTGTTCTTTACAGTGCAGAATCTGAACTTCTCCTTCTGATTCACATAAAGTCTGGACTTCCAGAATATAACTTCCTGGACTTAGAATACTTTAAAAGCATTTGTCAGACTTATAAAAAACTCATGGCTAATTTGTCAACATCAAAATCTATTAGGAGGTTTTCCCAATAAAAGGAACAATGCCCCAAGTATGGTTCTTTATAAGTGCATGTAACTTAGTCTCCATAGCATATTCCCAACGAGGATCAGATGCTTCTTCTATATAAGAGGATGGTTCTTTTTCCTCAGAAATACAACTTATGCAATACATATGTTCTGGAGATAATTGGCTAAACAAAACATTAGAGGATACTGGATAGTGTGTACCTAGAGAATCCAATGTAGGACAAATATAATCCTTGGTCCACATGGGAGGACGGGTGGTACGTCCAGAACACTGAGGATATTCAGTAATCATTTGTCCGGGAGCTGTTTGAGAAGATCCTTCAATAGGTGGTGGTGGCGATGCCACTGGTGAAATAGATGGGTTATCCTCCGATGATGATGAATGATTCTCCTGAGATGATATCACTGGGGATCGAATAGTTTTCTTTAAAGAATCCAGAGTTGTTGACAGAACTAGCTGTGGTGTAATAAGAACACTTTGAGGAGTTATGAATAAGGCTGCGCATGGCAATCATTCTGTGCTCGAGAATAGATTCTGCTCAGAAATGATTCTTTTTTATTCCGTGCCCGGGAATAATTTCTAAGCATTTGAAGGCATTTGGTAACTGCCCAAAATTTCTATTCTTAGAATAGAAAAAGAATAAAAATGCGTTTGGTAGCTACACAAAATTTCTTTTTATTAATAATATTTTAATAATATTTTGAATTTTTTAATATTTGTTTCTTTTTTTTTTTCCTTTCCTTCCTTGGCCATGGCCGGCGAGGGCGTCGCGGCCTCGCCGATGGCGACGGCAAGGTTGGCCTCGCCTTGGCTGGGCGAGGCTTGACCTCACCGGTGGCGACGATGCCAGATCTGGGCGAGGTCGAGCCTTGCCCAGCCAAGGCGAGGCCGATCTCGCCCTCGCCACCTAGGTCCGTCGCTGGGTGGCGACGGTGAGGTCGGCTTCGCCTTGGCTGGGCGAGGCTCGACCTCACCCAGATCTGGCGATGCCGACTTTGCCGTCACCAGATTTGGGCGAGGTCGAGCTTCGCCCAACCATGGCAAGGCCGACCTCGCCGCCGCCGCCACCCAGGCGAGGCCTCGCCATCGCGGCCACGAGCCGTTCTCTTCCAGGCGGTGAGGGGGACCCTCGCCGGCCCTAGCCTATGGCCGGTGGCCGGCGGGCCGGAGGCAGGCGGGCGGCAAGCCGGGAAGAAGAAGAATCACAAACCAAGAAAAAAAAAGAAAACCAAGAAGAATCAGAAATGGAAAAATTGTTCCAGAATAAAAAAAAACTACTTTTTTTTACTTCTTAATTTTGTTCCAAAACTAATTCTGGGAACAATTTTTTGCAAAATTGTGCCCGGGCACGAAAAATTTAACAAACAGATTTCTGTTCCCAAACTGATTCTAGGAACAAAAGAACAGAAATTTTCACTATTTGGCACGTTGCGAAACAGGCCCTAAATCACTTTCTGATAAGAAGGACCTGTTGCTGAATGATGAGATGGATGATTGAGATTGAGATCCCATCTCACGGAATGGAAACACATCTTCGTGGAAGATAACATCTCGGCTTATGAAGAAATGTTCTAAAAATATCTCCATAACTTGATAACCTTCCTGTAGAGAGGAATATCTCATAAAAACACATTTAAGAGCACGGGGATCCAATTTATTCTGAGGGCCCATAGTTGTAATATAACATAAACATCCAAAAACTCTTAGATGGTCAATTTGAGGTTGTTTGCCAAAAAGCATCTCAAAAGGAGTTCGACAATCAAGAATTCGAGTTGGCATGCGATTAATCAATGAGGCTGCCGTGACCACACAATCGCCCCAAAAAATTTCAGGAATAGAAGCTTGGTATTTCAGAGTTTGAGCTACTTTCAAGAGGTATTGATGTTTCCACTCAACAATCTCATTCTGTTGGGGAGTGTAGGTGCATGAGCTTTCATGAAGTATCCCTTGAGAGGATAGAAAAGAATTGCACTCACCGGTGAAAAACCTGCATCCATTATCAGTATGAATTCTCTTGACAGTTTTATTAAACTGATTCTTGACTAAGGAGAGAAATTTCAATATATGAGAAAATGTTTGTCCCTTGGATTGCATAAGAAATACCCAAGTGGCGCGAGTATAATCATCGACAATAGTGAGAAAAAAATGGGATCCATCACGATGTGGAGTATGGTATGGACCCCAGATATCAATATGTATTAAAGAAAAAGCACTAGTAGCTCGAGATGTACTGATTGGGAACGGTGTTCATGATTGTTTAGCCAAAGGGCAGATTGGATACTTTGGATAAGGAAAACGAGCACTGTGGCCCAGACGTTGATGAGAAATAAGAGTTTTATTGCTAATAGTGGCATTACAAGAGATGCTCTTATTCAACAAATCAAAATCTTTCCAAAAATATAATCCTTGTGCGACACTACCCAAGCCCATTAGTTTGCCAGTCGAAAGGTTCAGAAAGAAGCAATTTTGGGAATTGAATATGACATCACAAGAATTATCTTCACAAATTTTGGACACATAAATGAGATTGAACTCAAAATTAGGGATATAAAGAACATTCTTGAGTGTAATATTTGGGGTGAGATGGACAGTACCAACTTTACTGACATAGGTGGTGTTTCCATTTGGAAGACGAATAGAAACGGAAGGATGGGCCTTTTTACAAGAAAGAAATTTATCACTGCAAATTATATGGTCACTGGCACCCAAATCAATTATCCATGCATCAACTGAAATTGAATTCCTTTTTTAGAAAGAAGTACCTAAAAAACTCCCAATCTTGTTAGTAGTTCTTAATTGGCCCAGAGCTTTCATGATATTCTCGTATTGATCTTGAGTGTCTGATGCATTTTTTCGGTCCCTTGTGCCGAAACCTGGTAAGCAGAAAATTCTCTTTCTTTCTTTTCTTTGTCATTGGGCTTTCCATGTAATTTTCAGTATGTGTCAACAGTATGATGTGGACGTTTGTAATATTCACAAAATTTACCTTTTGTTTTGAAATTTTGTCCACCATTTTTTTGTGATGACGTGGTGACTCGCGAGCCATTGGATGGTTTATAAACCAGCGCTAATGTGGCTTGATATAAGCCATTGGATTCGGAAGACTGGTCGATGAAATTATGGCCGTTGGATCTAGATCTTGCATTTTGGCTGTTCATCCGAGAAAACCCTTTAGGGTTATTCTGGTCCTCCATCTAAACGAGCACCGCATGATGCTCTGGAATAGCAACGCTCCCAAAGCTTCCAAGGCTTTGACCCAGGGGCTTCGTCGGAGCTGCGAGGGTGACGCCTTTGTTCCGTCCGTGTTCTGCTGCGGCCAATCGCTGGCTGTCCTCTTGGACGGCCAATTGATAGATTCGGCCGAGCGGCGGCATCGGCTACATCGCCAGAATTTGTGATGGGAAAGGTGAGTACGTCTCATTTAATATGAGTAGAAATCGAGTCACCTTTTCCCTTTCTTTAATTGCTTGGTATTGTCGGAGAGTGGCCTCGGGTCACTCCAGTCGTTCCTCAGCGGCCTTGAGCTCATTCTAAAGGGCCGAGAGTCGGTTGAAGCAAGCGGTGACCGAGACGTTCCCTTACTTCAACTTCGAGAAGGCCTTAGTAAGTGTGAATAATTTTGCATGGTCGAACCTCCCATACATCTCGCGTATGTTTTCCCACATTATCTTTGAGTCCTTTGTTGGTGAGAGCCCGGCAGAGATGTCGGGAGCCAAACAATTCCCAATCCAAGTGCGAATCAATTGATTGCACCTCCGCCAATGACGCTGTAGCCGTTCTTCGTTTAGAAAGTGGACAGCTCCATCGATGAAACCATCTTTGTCTTTTGTGACTAGCGCTTGCCGGAAGTCTCCAGCCTAGGCATTGTAGTTGTTTGGTCCGACGAGCTGAAGGTTGATCAGCCGAAGCTCAAGTTCGTCGGCCGACAACGTGTATAGAGGGTCGCCGGGCTCAAGCGGCCGCCACTAGTTGCAATTCCGAAGGGTAGATAGCCAGGTTGGTAACCGGGTTGGAAAACCTTGTAGGGATTCGTCATTGTACCCGATTGAGTAAATTCGGGTCTGTGACCCGTATTTGTCCAGTCGGATCCATTATTCGGGTCGGTTCTAGAAGCAAAGTGAATGGTTCCTCCTCAGTTGGGTTGAATTCCAAAACCCTGAACTCGTTCCTCTCCGGGCGGACCATATTGAAGCCACGCTTGATTGGTCCTGCGGCCCATTGGCCTTGAACCAGAAACCATTGGACTAGTAGCCACTGGACCGGGCCGGGAATCTGGACTGAAGGAGGTGTGGATCCTACTGGATGTTGAGCAGGAGTCTCTTCTATTATAGTCGGATCATTCTAATCCGTGATTTGAGCTCGTGGTGAGTTCCCATCGGAGTTTGTGTTTTGCAAGTTCTCCATGGTATCCTAGAATATGAATTTCTATCGAGGTACTGAATTGTTTTGCTATTGTAGGGCTACAACAACAATTCAGAAGACAAGACCGGAGGCAATTCCAGAAGAATTTTTTCGGAAGCTAGGCCAAAAAAGATAGCTTTGATACCATGTCAAAAAATGAAGAAATTGGAAGAACTTTTTTTTCTATATCCCGTATACAAGTAATGATGAAACATAAAAACAGGAAAGAAAATATATGGGATTTCAATTTCCTATTCTACGTAATTAATTAAGGACCGAATCAATTAGTCTATAATCTAATCACAATCAATATCCTCCAAATCTTCAATTATATCTTCAATAGTGGCTCACGGTGCAAGGCCTGGTGATTGGCCGAGGAAAGGCTGCCGGCGTGAAAAGTAATAGCTTTGGTTTGCTAAACCTACAAAGGGAAAATTAAGCGCAAGAGCGAGAGTTTCTCTAGTGTGGTCGACAAACCTTGGACGCGCAATGAAGGACTGCAGGAAAACGCTAATAACACATTTTGGCCTTTGTTCCCTTCTTTCCACCGAATCAGCCCACCAGGAATCTCCATTCAAAATTTGACTTTTGCTCTGACTAAGCCATGGAATAATTCCACAATCACCTCTTGGAGCCTCCTGGATGTTCCGAAATCTTTCTGTCCTGGCTGAGACTGGAATTCGTGGGACTGAGGATGGTTTGTTATAGACTGAGCTGGACTTCACGCCAAGGCTATGGGACATGATGGTTACACTGGGAAAGCTGTGATGCGCACTTGAAGCTTGCCGGTTTTGCACCAGTAATACCGAATTGGATCACAGGAGTGTCGTGGACTGGTGTGGGGCAAATAAACAGCCACAATGTCAATCATCGAAGAGGCTCGGCAACGGCAGCAGGTTTCACGGTGGAACAGCAGACTCGACTCGCAGCTGTGGTGATTGATGGCCGTCGATAATGAAATTGTTGTTGTAGAAGCTCATCATCGGAGACTAAGATGACCGCAGCTGAGTGATGGTCTCGGCCGAGGCTCCTTCTCTCTCTATTGTTCTCAACTTCCACGACTTTCTCTCTCTCAATGTGCCGTGGATAATTTGAAGCTCTCTCTCTCTCACTTCTGTGGCCGTGTTTCGATATGTGTGGCCTCTCCTTCAATTGTGAATCCTAACATATCTATTTATAAGAGTTAGCCAGAGTTATCTTGCAAGAGCCAAGATATATTATTTCCTAATTCTGATACTCAATTTAGGTGATTTTCTGATTATTTCCTCTAACTGAATATTTGTAGAATAATATGAATTATCTTCCAAGTATATTATTTAATAATTCGATAATTCAATTATTCTAACTGGCTCTATAATACAAATTTTGGCCATATACGTATTCAATGGGCTTGGACATACATTTAATCTTTGGGTTGAGTCCATTTAATTCAATTAAGCTCAAAATCATTCACTTAAGTCCATCTGCCGTCGGTCTAATGCAGATGCAACTATATGAGCTATTACTATAAATGATCCTAAAATCTATATGCAGTTTAATTATTACTTTTGCTAGGGGTCGGGATCGACCCCTAATTTTTCTATGCAATATATACCTAAGTGGGTCGCCAAAATTTAGGTGTCAACACATAAGTTTTTAAATGCTTTATGTTTAGAAGACAATGATAGGTCGATGTATGTGCACTTTCATTTCAATTTTACTTGATTGCGGATTTTCAATACATTAATTGTTATTTTCCCTTTTTAGAATGGTTAGGTTAAATCATTAGGGTTTCAATGAAAACATCGCATGGACACTTAGTGGATGAAAACACATGGACTCATAATTGGTAAAAAGACTGCATGGTCACTTTAGTGAACAAACGATCAAATTTAGGTACCGAAAGAGCATTAGTTGAATACATAGTGTAATCAAGTCCCCGTTTATAAGAATCTCTAGTTGTGCGTGCATCGAGACGTCACTCCCACGTCTTGATTAGGGTTTCTAGCCGAACCTCAATAATGGCTAGTGGTGACTCCTAATGAATACATAAATTAGAACAACCAATGCCACGCAAGTTGACATAGGCACAACTTGCCACAAACCAAATTGCCAAGCACAATACTGCGGGGAATATATTTCAAAACCGTGATAAAATCTTCCTTTTTTGGACAATCTCATGGGAACGTCGACTGGAGTGAGTACACATACTCAGAAATCATAAGAATCATCTCGAGCAGAAAAATCGGAGAGGTAATTGAACTCATTGGCATCGTAAGGGAAAAATTCAACACTTTCTAAATTGATCTCCAGAAGTGCTCGAAGATGAAATGCGAAAGAGAAAATGTCCTTAGGGACATTCAGAGGAGAATGACTCAGCAACTAACACCCAAGAGAAAGAGGAGTAGGTGATCGAAATGCTGGTAGAGCATGATGGTGAAAAACACGAGGCTCGCGATTGGAAAGGGACGAGAAATACAAAACCATCTAAGATTGCAAAAGCTAGAATGGACCAAACAGGATAATGTCTTCTTCGGACCTCATAGCTAAAGATGCATGAGCGAAACCTCTATACAATGTAGCAATAATAAGTGGACCCAAAGCAATTGACTTATCTGCTGCAACGTTAGAGGCAATATGAAGAAAATCCCTAAACACTTTGAGTGACGGATTAAAAATGATATACTTGGAAACCCAATAAAGCAAGAAAGATGTGTGCTCGTTAGAATCAATTGGACCAGAAGTGTGAAAAAATCGATCAAGGAATCTGCCATGAGCAAGGGCATTATCAAGAACGTAGGGGACCTCAAGGGAGCCCATGTCTTTTACAGATATGCCATTGGGAGAAAAACAAGCTATGGCATAGATATCTAAAAGAGTGATTGACATAGGATCTCAGGGAAAACAGAAATAGTTGGTCGACGGAGGCCAGAAACTAATGGCGGCGTACCACCCGCCTGGGTGGCGCTGCTGGAGCGCGCACTCTTCCTCTCGCAAAAGGTTGAGTGTTCGAATCCCGGGCGCCGCAGGGTGACTTAACCGGTGGCACGTGTGTGGTGGCTAGCACGTGTCGCCCCCAGGGTTTACTCCCCGGCTGTCGGCCGTGCGGGGGTTCCCTGGGTTATCAAAAAAAAAAAAACTAATGGCGGCGCCCAGAAACCCTAAGTTTAAGTCGTAAGATAACATGCTAACCTCCAAAGTAGTCATTATATCAGCTCTTTTCCAGGCAAGTTGTACCCATTTATCATTCTTCATCCGTAAATACCACCTATAGAATTTCGCTTCAAAAGAAGGAAAATCGTGGAATCAAGAATGTATTGTAGTCCAAATGTTTATGATGGAAGGCCTTTGAATGGGAAGTAGCTCGTCGCGTTTTTTGGGAAAGCAAGGCTTGAGAGAAGTTGGGATTTGTTGATGATTAAGTAAACAGGGACCGAGGACAAGGGTCTCAGGATCCGTCAACTATATTTAGAAGGCGGAAACAACAATTACTAGAGTTTTCACTGCTTTGCAGATCATCAAAATTGGTGATATAACTTGCCGAAGAGTATTGAGGAGTATTGGACGCCACGAGGAATAGTGAAGCAAAGAACAGAGGAAGAACTCATGGGTTTTAGGCCAAAAGAACGTTAGGGTTTAAGGAAGAAGACAAAAGATGTATAAAGATTGGATCTTTGCGTATACACACTTGCCCGAGATAAACAGCGAAATCAAAGATGACAATCCATATGATCTGTAATCGTGATAATTTGCTATCCATAAGTAATTAGGGCAACATGTCGGAACGCTACAGGAGATCATGATCTGACTGGCTGCACACGGAGCACAAAGCTTGAGAAGACAAGACACATGTCAGGATTATCCGCAAGAAAACGCGCGCGAATGAGGTATTTTCTTCGAGAGATGACACCAAAAAATGATCTAGTTATGTGCATAGCACTTGAGCACCATCTTGCACATATTAATCTATCGACGGGTACGGGAGTTAACACGTGGCGATTGATGATGATATTCTTTAATGTCACATGTCCAGTTGTCAAAATACGATAACAGACAGTTGGTAGCCGCCAATATGTGCGCCGACGATAAATTTTCATTAAAAGTACTTCAAATACCATTCAAAACTTAAAATCATCAAGACGGTTAGCATTGAGGATGCACACTAAAGAGGGAATGGTTACTATTTAGTGACCCAATCATGGAATGATCATTAATGACTACAAAGCTGTCAACACATGATAAAGACAGTTATTAAAAAACGTGGGCAAGTAAAGCTTGCGGAAATAAAGGAGTATAAATACGATCGATGGAAGTTACTTGAAAAATACAGAATATCATCGAGGATCGGTTGATAACCTTCTCTATAAATACAATCGGCTATCCAACAACAGCCCCCCTAGTTGTAGCTTCTATATTCGCATCGTCGATTCAATTCCAATGTGTATCTTTTTCTTGGATGTTACGTCGTGATTAAATTCCAACGTGATATCTTGGTGTAGTCAGGTCCTATCATTAATTAAATGTCGGCATAACTAGTTTACATTTGTACCTGTTGTACTTTTTGAGCCTTTTTGTCAATTAAATCTCGACTCGGTTCCCATTTGTATAGTCTCGATCGATGTGAAATTGTTGATTCCATAATTCGCCTAGATATTTGTTGTCCAAAATTGCCACATAACTCGTTCTCTTTCACTTAAGAATCGAAGAATGACTTTCAGTGAAAGATATTTCGTCACGAGAGCAATTCCGATGAAATAGCCATGTACTTGAAACGCCTCGACGACATTCAATATTATGAAAACGTTAGTTGTCTATCTTTGTCTATGATCTTGTTTAGCATCATACCATTTTGGGTTCTTGCTTCAAATCAGTCCCTCCTTCACCTATGTTCATAGACTATTTTCCTTGGCTTTATACGGAAATACTCCCAATCAACGGGAGCTTCTCTTGTATCTACTCCTAGTCTCTTTCCAATCATCGATTCAACTCCTTCCCATCTTTGATGAGCAATTTTTCCAATGGTACCTAAGATTACAAGATGAGATGGGACGAACCTGGCGCCGGGCTAAGATTGAGTCGTTCCTGAGGTGTTGCTATTTGTCTTTTAATCCTGTCGAATTCGATTTTATTGAGAGCCTTTGCTGTTTCTGGTACCGCTGATTCAGCTCTGTTATCATTTATCATGCCCACTAACATACATATGTCCAAATAGTATAGCACGTTGTTTCAGTTTCCGCTGGGTCTCTCTCTATAAACGGTGTTCCTGATAAGAGGACTACACTTAT